TGCTGTACCCATGAGCAGCTTGAGACTGGGGTAAGTGGGATGTTTATGAGTCAATACCGCACAGTATTCTTTCTGTACGCTGAACTGCCCTTTTGTCAGCTTCAGAAAGCTCAGTGCCCGGTGATCTCCAGAGCCCACCTCCAGCCTTCCCCTTGCACCCAATGACGCAGCATTAACCTTTCTAAAGCAGGTGTAGGAGTTATTCCTGCAGGACGCCCAGTGACTTCATCCTCTTTTTTTTTTTCGCAACGGGCTAGCCTCGTTAGTCTTTACCTCCAAGGAACTCAGGGACTCGCTCTGTCGGGGTGGGAGGATAGTACTGCTCTGAGGACCCACCGCACTGCACTACAGCCTTCTCCAGAGAGCAAGGGGAGCTGCTCTCCTCACGATTAGTAATTTTAATATCGGTGTTCATCCTGCGGGGGCCAGTAACGGGAAATCCGTCACCTTCCTCCGCATAAAGGCAAACAGTGCCCCTAGCAACGGTCAGGGCTCACTCCCCTCCCGGCTGCCCGGGCCGGGGCCCTGTCCCCTCACAACGGCTGGGGCCTCGCTGCAGCTCCAGCGGCTGCGGCCGGAGCCCGCTGCGGGAAGAGCCGAGGGGGAAGCAATGGCTCTCGGATCCCCCCCCACCCTCCTCCCGCACAGCCACCGCCGCTGTCCCCCGCCGCCTTGCCCTCACCCTGCACCGCCAGCCGCCGCGGAACCGCCTTGCAAAGCCCTCCTCTTCCGGGCCGGGCCCCGCCGCTTCCCCCCGCTGCCGGGGCGGTGCCGCCTGCCGGCCGGCGTGCCTCACCGAGTCCTGGTGTTCGGTGGTGGGGCGCCGGCCTGCCAGCGGAGGGGAGTCCTTGGGGTGGAAGGATTGATTCCCCTAAATTAGGCTTTGATACAAACTCCGTTGATATAAACAGCCTTGACATTTATGGGGCGCTTTCCTTGGCTCCTACGCAGGTTTTAAGGAGGTGATACCTGAAATACTTGGATTTTAACAGGAAGGTGAATCTGGAAAGGGTGAAGTGAACGTGGCGCCTACAGCTGTAGCCCTGTGGCTGTTGGTAATGCGGTGTAAGTGTATCTTAATCATAAAAAAGCGTAGCGATGGTTTGACTACTGTGTGAGGAAAGTAGGATGACATGAAGGGGTTTTGGCAGCTAAATAGTTCTGTGTAAACCGAAAGAAATCTGGTTTGATGTCTGCTTCGGCATCACATTTACACTCCCACCTGGTGCTGTAGGTAGTGGCTAAGTCCTGTTACCTTTAATACACGTGAAATTATGCACAAGTGTCAAAATCTGTCGTAAAGGAGGTCCTGTGCAGGTAAAATGGCTTGAGGCAGGGAACTGTGCCTCCCCTCCTGTACTTCTTCGACCTTGGCTGTTATTACTAATTCATGAAGTGCCACAGCAGTTACTAACAGCGCACTGCCCAAAGGATGTGCAGCATGGGGATGCGGTGTTGCCTCTCTCCTCTGAACGACTGGTGGCATCACAGCCTTCCTGTATCAGAAGTGGTGGTGGTGTCCCTGTTCACCTTGTTTCCACAACACTGACGTCTTTGTATTGCTGACTGTTTTCCACAGCTCCTAAACCAGTGAGTTTTAAATGGTCTCTCATGATGTGTGTAAGAAACTGATTTGTTGTAGGACCCTTTCAGAACGCAATGGGTTTTTATAAGCTCTACTAGAGACTCTATGATTCTAGAGACTATCGCTCACAGGCACTAGCCAAACATAGAGACTGATAATTGAGCTCATCACTTGAAACAAGATACCCCAGCAACAGTGACAGCAGCATCCAATTCTCCAAAAATATTAGACCACAGTAAGTGCCTTTTGTTTCATATAAACAGCAGTAATTACAGTCTCCTCTCCTGCATGACCTAGAGCAGGAGTGTATTGTCACTTGCAGAATAGAAATGGTGACCTCAATCTGAACAGCCTAATGCAAATGCCTTAGCCTGAATAGCTAGTTCTAAGCCAAACAAATTGTCACTGAGGCTGAAAAATAATATATTTTAGCTTAAGTTTTCCCCATGTAATCCCTGTTTTACTGACTGCCCTGTTCAAATGGGCAGAAGTAGGTAGGATTTTATTTCTTCCCCAGACATGTTTTGTTTTGACCACTGGATACTGCAGTTTCACGTGTGTGTACAGAGGATTTCATGCATAAAATTAGTCAGATGATCTTTAATAAAAGGGAAATGCTTTTTTTTTCTTTGAGACTGCTGTTTCATGGGTGACATTTTTCATTAAAAGACCAAGCTTAAATTAATATTAAAACTTTTAATTACAGACTCAAGTCAGCCACCCATTTAAGTGTGTACATAATCTAAGCCTATATATAAAAGTTCTGTTGAATGCATGTGCCCCTTGTAAATGCTGTGAGCAGTGTACTCCACAAATTAACAGTTTTGCTAAGGTGCTCTGTTTAGCATATTCCACACAGAAAAACACTTGCAGGGAATGGCTAAATCAGAGTGGCACATAATTGTATATATTATATTTAAATTTATATGGTGCTTGTGCTTTGGATCTTTTTTCTTTATGTCTTTACGCCTGCTATGAATTATAACATCAAGAAGGGTCTAGGTGGCAATATCATAAGATTTCTCATAGATGTTACACTAAAGTTCAAACTGTAAAAAACCCAAAGTGACAGGTGATTTTTAAAGGAACAGGGTCACTGAAAAATTACTACTGTCACCAATCAGGACTTTCAGCACCCAATAAATACCTCACAAAGCACATACCTACATAGTAGGTGCCCAGGTACTTAAAAGGTCTAGCTCCAAGTATTATCAAGACTGAGGACTTTATAATCCACTCTTGCAATCCTTCTGCTCACTTCAAGGCTCTCCAGGTAATTAGTGTGTTAGTTTTGTATAAACACAATCTTGTAATCAGCATCTTTGAAGTCTACTGTAGTGTGATAAAGCCTCAAAGAGTTTGCTTTTTCTTCTGTGGATTTCATTATGTTAAATAACATGCTGTTAGATGAAGTCTTATCTTCTAAATTTGAACTAAGAGTTGTTCCTTTTAGCCTATCAGAAATTAATGAAGCTTTTGTAGAATGGATCTTCCTGCCTGAACAAAGGAATATACACTAAAACTAGAAAAGTCTTGAAACAATGGAAAATGGCAGTTCTTTTTGTAACTATCTAGTTCTGTCACAAGATTTTGTAGGTGATGTTTTACATAAATCCCCAGCTTCTAGACTCCTGTGTTTTCATTATACTCAACTTTCATTTGAAAATTAATTTCTAGCCCTCGCTATTATGGACAATTCTTGAGAAAATAAGTAAGTCTGCTGTACAGGATAACCAGCCTGTACCAAGAAGTGAAAGGAAAACATTATTCAAGATTTCTTTGTTTAAAATCTTTTACTTTTTGCGATTTTCCATTTCCTTCTGACTAGGTTTGTTGCTTTAACTCAGTAGAGGTTGCCAGCTATGGCATTTTTAATGAAAACTCAGCATGTATCTCACTAGCAAGAGAAAAGGAGAACTGATTTTTTGTGTGCATTTCTACATCTTTAAATAGTCAGGTTTCTTTTACTTTATTGTTAATACCTACCTTGAGAAATCAACTAAGGAACTAACATCCCGTGTAATTGCAGCCTGTTTGATCAAGGGAATATTTGTCTATAACCGAATAAACAGAGAAGCCTCCATAGATTGTTATGGATCCTGCTGGGTTTTTTAATAACAAAATAATATATCAGATATTTTAGTGAAAATGTATTTATCTTCAAAACTCTGCCTTTTTTTCCTTAGCCTGATGAATCTGCTGAGTGATTTCCTGCCATCCAGTTCCCTTCTCCACTCATTCTTTTTGCAGTGTCTCAGTTACAGTGTAACTGAAAGCCTGGTTTGTTTGTACAATGAAACCCGATTTCCCCAGATAATTTATTCTAGGAAATGGTGGTGTCTGGCACTGCTAGAGAGAGCAAGACTTTGGGTTCTGGCTAACAGCAGGTACAAAGGGCATGCGTGGCACCCTTGTTACTGATTACACACTAAAGGAAAGTAGTTTCTGTGGGCACAAGAGGCTGTAAGACCGCCAGGGGACATCTAAGTAACTAATGACTGCAAAGTGTTTGTGGGATCACTCATTGCACTGAGAGATAGGTAAGCAGAGATACTTTTCAGCCAATCTGCAGAAATATTTGGAGTTGTGCTCTTTCTCCAGTGCCTCCTGTGCTTGGAAGATCAGTTCTCATCGTGGGTATTATTCCTTTGGCTCGAAGGGATTATTGCCTAGATGAAGCTCACTTCAATAACAGGAAAGACTGAGATATAACAGCTGTTGCTGACAAATGCCTCTGAAGCCCGTTATTCTGTCAGATCTCTGCCTTGGCTTTGCTGTTATATTGTACAATATCGCTGAGCCTCAGAGTGTCTTTCACACACCTCCATATGGTATTGTAAAGTGAAGTCCATAAAGGAACAGACTGCACCGTTTCTACCAGCTTCACTAAACTTAATACAAGAAATGTTTCCTTACCGTAACAATGACCTTTAAATGTTAACTGCCTAAAAAAAATAACATTGTCCTTTTTTTTAAAAGGGGGAAAATGCAGTTCTTGGTGCTTGATTGTGTTACAGAATAACAGTTTTGGTGTTGTGGGGCCCAATTCCTTTGCATTAAGCTTACAACAGTGTAACACTTGATTAAATGGAATTTATTCCCAATTTATTCCACTATGAAAGAAGGCCTTTAATTTTCCTAAGAGCTATTTCTGTTGTCAGTCTTTTAAAACTCACAGTCACATTCAATTATATTTTTAGTGTATTGTTCTTTAAATTAGTGCAGAGATGGTGTTATCTGACTGTCATTTATACATATCTATATACATATATACAAATTAAAAATCACTACATTCTAGCTGCCTTCTTTTATTTTCACCTTTTAAACTGACTAAGCCAGCTGTGCCCTTTGGGGTCTATAAGAATGAATCATTTTTATTATTTTTGCTCTCTTAGACAGTAATTACAGAGTGGTATGCCTTCTCTGGTTTTTAATATTATGGTGCCATTTTAATCTATGGTGCAACACCATTAACTTCAGCAGAGTTACACTAGAAATGAATTCATCCCCAGGAGGCTTTTCCAAATGTTCAGTTCTTTCCTCATGATTACCCAGGGGACCAGAGAAGAAGAAGGCAAGACAGAGGGCCCTTTGATAGGAGAAATGTAGTTCAAAGTGAAGTCTTGTTTCTGCCATTCATGGTGCTCCATATGTTCCTCATTTGGGGTGGAGATGGGTTAGACCCCGTGAGGCACACACGCTGGGGCTGAAGGGCAGGCAGAAGTTTTTACATAGCACATCTGGCGCACAGGTTATGCTCTTTCCCAGATGTAGGTACTGTACAAATGGAAAACAAAGAAGAAAAAAAAGTGGGAGGAATATTCAGATACTTAAAGTGTACTTCTGTGGAACTGCTTAAAAGTCAGAAAATGGAGTAGCCAAACGCTAAGATATCAAACTCATCATAATCATCAGCCTGTCTAAACTCCAACTCAGACGCTTTTTAGATGTCAAGTAATCCTGCAAGTGGGAATGTATGAATCAGTGCTATCACGGATTGCCTATTGTTAAGATAGTTGCAAAATATAAAGGAGATACTTGCAGAAGTTTCTAGGGCTAAGTTTTATTCATTCTGTATGTTCTTTTCTAGTTGGATATTTAATTTCAGTTTGGGCTCATTTCTCATGTCCATATCCAGTCTAAAACATTCAAATCTGTTGCAGTGTGGGTACACCAGCTTGTAAGTTAGAATTTAGTTGCACCTATCTGAGTTCAGAAGGGCAATTTAGAGAATTTTCTAAAAGAGAGGGGTGGGGAGCCAACAGCATGGCTGGTGGGGAGGACCAGACAAGTTCATGGGGATGAAACAGGTCCAAGGCAAGTCTGAAATTCAGTCCATGGGGCGCTGCTCAACACAGATCAACATGGTCCGTGTGCAGGCACAGCACAGCCACAGCACAGCTGCATCTGGAGCCCAGCATAGCCACAACAGCAGGGACCAAGGGACCAAGGCTGAGCTTGCATGAGCCCCTGTGCCTGGGGCAGGGGTGTGCAGGAGGCCCCAGGTCGCTGGTTGTGGCAATCAAAGCTTGTCAGTGCATTCAGGGCCCTGACATGCACATCTGGTAACAATTTCTATTATGTTTAATTCAGAAACTCAGATCCTTGCAAAACCTAGGATCTAGCAGAGGGAAGTGGTTATGCCTGTTTTAGCACACGTCTAGCATTTCTCCCAGGCTGGATAGTTTATGCAGTTTGCCTGCTGCACACCAGTCGGGTGCCTCGGCTACAAAGTCAAACATTCAAACTCTACAGGGGATTCCTGAGTTTCCCATTTAACTCCCGGAGTCTCCCTTCTCTGGATGGTGACATCCTCCAGGCACCGGGGCATTGCTCCTTATGTGGAACTCCCTTGTCCTCTCTGAGGCCCAGGTTTGAAAGCTGACCTTGCCACCAGCCCTGCAGATAGATGGGCCACGCGGCCCCACTCATGCCTGTCCTGCTTCTATGTGTCAAAGCCATGTGTAAGCACATGTTCAGGTTCTGCTAAAGGCAATGAAATACAACAGTATTTCAGTGTTTTGTTCCCCCTGAAGGTTCAGGTCAGTGCAATTGATCTAAGTAGTGCTCCCTCCTTTAGATACGGCTCTCCCCAAACGGCTTTACGAAGAAGCTGTTAGTTATCACAGGAATTTGTCTCTCTTCTTCTCTTTGCACATAAGAATTCTTGAATGTTCTCTGCAGTTCCTCTTAAGGGCCATTAGAGAAAGCAAGGGCTGAAGTATAGGCCAACTTTGTGCTACTTCAACTTTGGAGTGTCCTCTTAATATGGAGTATTTTTAAAAAAATTGTAAATCAGAATTTTCCAGAAATACCAATCTGTATTGAGACCACACTGTGCTAGAGTGAAATGAGGTGTAAGTGAATTAGCTGAGCTGCAGAGGAGCCTGCAGGAATTTACAGAGCTGGCCTGAGAGTCTGCTCCTTGTTCTGACACTGCCTCTGAGTGGTACTGCTGTGCCCTCCCCTGTGCATCCCTGCATTATGCCTCAACCTACACAAAATCTGGAAACTCCTCAGGCAAAGACTATCTTTCCATTTTATGTTTGTGCTGTGCTGGGGCTGATCCTTGTCTGGGGGTCTAGGTCACCACTGCTCCTAGCAGTAATAACTCTCCCTCCTGTTACTAAATTAGGACTGGAGGTCATTCTTTCCAGCATACAAGGGTTCCTAATCTTTCAGGAGACTATGCTGTGGCTGCCTCCCCTCTGTGTCCCCTTCTGCCTCCTCAAGATGTCTGTCTTGGATGTTGAGGACAGCGTCCTTACCTGCCCCAGCACTGCTGGAACTCCTCCATCTTTGCCCCAGACTCCTGTGGCAGTTTCCTGGAACCTTTCCACAGTGCTGCTGTTCCTATGGCCCTGCTTAACCTCCCAATTTTTCTTCACCACCTTCTTGAGCTGTGGCTGTTTCCTTCCCATCCCTGCACCGCCTGCAGAAATCGTGCTCTGGTGGCAACCAGCTGCTTAGCGTGTAAGTGCTCAGCTGAACACTGCTTTCTAATGTTGGTTGGGAACCCGTGCAAAAGAACATGCTGACTCCTCAACCGTCTAAAGTTAAGAAATATAAAACTGTTGTCTTGGAAAATGCAAAGTTCTGATGGAGGATCTTTAAAAACAAGCCCAAAATCTCACAGAGAAATTAAAACCACACAGTAATTTTTGGTGATACTTTGAATATGAGTGTTTCATATTATGCAATGGCTGCTCATTTTAAGAACAATATACAGTTATTTTCTTGGTCTTAAATGCTGGTGTGGGGGTATCACAAACTTCCCAAGTAAAACTTTAATTAAAAAGCAAACGTTAATCTCCACACAGTGGCATCTGCAACAGATTGCGAGATAAGACTTCACCAACCTGAAAAAACTAAGTAAGATTCTAATTAAATCAGGGAAAAAATGATGAACTAGATATATGTTTTATTTAAGGATGGCAGTTATATAAAGTATCAAAGATCTCATAGTTGCTATCTGATGGGAAACGTTGCTGCCAGATCTCACAAACTATTTCAGGGAGAGAAATCCTTGTTCCACTGGTTCCAAGTACTGTTCACTTCCACTTCAGTGGGGTCAGGACTTTGCTGTGTCTCTCTGTTTGACTCGGAAGTCACATCAGTCCTGTTGAAAGCTGCAGATGATCCAGTAATGAAGCAATGTGTCAGCATGATATGAGGAAACGCTGTACTGCAAGTGCTGCCATCTTTCCAGTGAGGCACAAATACAAAGTCCTGACTATTTATGGTTATTAGAGGTCCCAGAGCACCTTTTGAAAAGTAAGGCTCTTAATCCCTGTGTGCTGGCCAAAATCTATTTTCAGCAATGCCACTCCGGCTATCAACATTTCCTGTATTGTTTCAGATGGAGATTGTGTTGGCCATTGCATCCTGTTCCAAACTGCGTGCTGGGTTCCTCTCTGTTTTGGAACAGCTGATATTTTCCAGAAACAACCATGCTGCAGTGGTATGTGAAGTGATCTCTATATATCGTCCCTTGTCTCACAGGAATGGAATGAGGATTAATCGATTATGACCAAATCATGATCCCAGTGAAGTCAAAAGAAGGTTTTTTTCCATTGGCATCATGGGAGCCAGGGTTGGCTTCTGTGTGGGTATTATTGAGATACCTACACATAAAAGCAGCTAAAAATACAAAGCACTACCTTGTGGAAGGTGCCTGTGTAGTTAGAATTCCTTTATCTGGAGAGGAAAATGCATTTTAAAGGCTGTTTCCTCAAGAGTCTAGTTGTCACCACAGGCGTTATTGTGCATGAGGAAATTCGGGTTCATGGAATGTGGCCTTAAGCATGTAATGTTGGTTGGCTAGCATTTGTGGCTTTGCATGTCCTGTGAATTCAAAACATGCTTTATTATACTTTCAGGGCTGGTCTCTGCTCTTTTCCCAGTGCAGCCACCGGTGTGGAATTGTATCTCAAAAAACATGTTCTTAAAACTATGAATAATTCAGCTTTAAATATTGGAAGAAAGTTGAATACTAAGTGACAATAGCTGCACATTATTCTCTATGAGCAGATGTTAATTCTTCTGGGCAAACAGAGGGTCTAAAAAAGAGCAACTCTGGCCAGATTCCTAAGAGACTGCAAAATGTTTCCTGCTTTCATCTTCTGTCATATACCACTTCCAGTGTCACATTTCAAATTGTAAATCAATTTACAAGTTGGACAAGAGATACCAGTGAAAAACATTTTTGCAGGATCATCTAACTTCTTCCATACAAATATAATAATAGTACATCTCTCGTGCAAATATAGGAAAGAGTGGTCACAGGCTATTTTGGGAAAAGCATACTCACCAGCTGGACACAGGGAGAATATTCAGTCAGCCACTGAGGAGCAGAATAACAGTAATCAATATTATTAAAGGTGGGTAGGGATGAAAATCGGCCTATTCCTGCAGGAAAACCACCAAATTAAACTTAGAAAAATATTAGTACATTCACAATGTAAATTGTGCTCTTCTGCAAATTAACAGTAAATGAAAAATAGAGGATATGTGTCATCCATACTTTATAGTGTTGATTTAATTTTCTCAAGTATGTAGAAAAGGTTTTGATGTGCGTATATTAATATTTCCCTATTGACTAAAGATTAATTTAAAATAAAACATAGCTCAAAGCTTTTCTGGAAGTTTTAAGTGTTCTGCACCTTCCACCAAATCCCCTTGAGTTAAACTGAATTCTGTAACTGTGTCCTGGGTCATCTCCCATGAGAGTGCACTGTGACCCCTCTCCCTGGCTCCAAAGGCCTAACTGAGCTATGGCTGAAAACATCAGTATGATATTAAATCCTGGCTGCTGCTGCCTGACATCTTGATGGTACTTCTGCAAAGCCCAGGTAAGCACTCTGGATCTAGAGAGTGCTCCTCCAGGTGCTTGATCTGCAAACATGTCCCTGAAATGCTGTTTGGGGGGGGTTGTTTTTTTTTTTTAAATATTTACCAGTGACTAAAAATTTTATTCTTATTTTTCAAAAACCATGGATTTTATACATCCCCAAAAGGACTATGAAATTTCCCGTGAAAAGTGGAATCTGTTTACCAGTAGGTACAAGCACTTTTATAACTTCTGGTAACTAAAATTACACAAGATTGGATTTAAGAGTCTCGACAGTAAATACTTCCTGAGAAGCCAAATATGGAGCTAAAAATAAACTGATTGTGTTTGTTTAGCTGATTGGTAGGGTTTATGTATTTTGTCATCTAAGTATTCTTGCAGAACAGTTGCAGTAGGTGGAATTAGGAATGTAGAAGCTCCCCTTGAGGTAGTTTTATGAAGGGAAGACATGCAACCCATCTTGCACCCAGTAGGTTCTTTTAAAATGCATTTCCCCATCAAAGGAGTCCTGGCATCTTTGTGAGAGCTGTATTCTTGTTGGGTTTTTTGTCAAATAATTATTTTTTACTTTTCCTGATGTTAATTATTAGTGTAGTAAAAAGAAAACAAATTCTGCATCATTTGTGGCCTTCTGGCTTCGCTGTTATTATTGATTAATTATTGGCATTTAGCAGGACTTAGACATAAGGACTGGTATAAGTCAAGGTTTTTAACTTTACTTGAAAATGATATAATTACATCCAGTAGGGCTGGTGACAAATAGTTTCCTTCACAAGAAAGCTATGGGTGTGAAAGACACCGACAGCTGGGCACTTCTGACTTCCTATCTCTGAGCCAGGCCTGGCTTCCCTGAACTCAAGGGATTTTCCAGAATTGGAGGTGAGAAATCTAGTACTGCAGAGCCACTCATGTCCTTAGGAGCTTCAGTGAGAGCTTTGGGGTGCTCACCACTATACCTCAACCATAAGGTTTTGCAAATAGGCTTGAAATCCCGTGTGGCTTCATTCCCACCTGGCACTCTGTAGTGCTCAGTCCTTGGAGAAATTCATCCAAGTGAGGAATTCATTACTTCTGCCCACAAGGAAACATAGAAGCCTTTATCAAGCCCTTGAGCATTCTTGTAAATAAATCAGACCTCCAGTGTACCTAGGGAATATCTACCTTTAACAGTAAGGCAATCAAAGAGCTGATTAAGTGCCAAAGTCCATCAATGAGTAAGTCCTAAAGAAACAGAAAGAGTGATGTATTTTGCACCAGTATGAAGTATGAATTCCTAAAAGCATCCTAGGCAAGCAGCTCTGGACAGTTAGAATGCTCTGAAAGGTCTGGCCCCATCCTATCTCCCTCTGCCCTATTTTATATGGGAATACTGGTTTTGGGGAGAATGAAGATGCAGTGGGGAGTTACCCTGGGGAGGAAGCTGAAGGATGGAGAGCTGCCTGCTGGCAAGTCCAGGACTCTGGAGAAGAGCGAAGGGAAGGCAGGGTGTCTTGAAGGAGGACAGGCTGCACTACAGACCCTAGGAACACCCCACATCCCTTTCCCTGGCTTCCACTGCTTTGCCCTCCCTTTCCTCCTGCCATACCTGTCCCTCATCCCTACATGTCCGTGATTACGCTCTGAAATTGCACCCACTGCTAGAGAAAGTCAGGAGTGGGGCAGAAAAATTCGGTTTTGCTTATGCCACTTGAGCTGGCTCCAGTATCACAGGAAGGACTAGTTTTACACACAATACAGGACCACAGCAGAGTCCCAGGCTCAGCAATGTCCCTCAGCCCTGCAATCCCCTTGGAGGCCAGACCCCCTTCCTGCTGCAGGACAGATGGCTGCAGTGAGCCTAGGGGTTTCTTTTCCACCTCCCCTCTTCCCTATCCCCCAGCATGGGCAGCACATCCTCTTTGCCCAGCTCGCTGACCTGCACCAACAGCAGACATTGTTCATGTACCATAGAGCACAACACCACCAGTAGAGCGGGTTGGGCTAATTAACTAGGCAGCATTTAAAATGCCAGCCCGTGGTTGCTTGGAAATGTAAGCCAACTTTGGTATTATTTTCGAGCTTAGATTTTTTTGAATCCAAAATTCCATGTGACGGAAGAGATGGGTATTTAAACAGATGTCTGCAATTTCTTTAAAAAATAGAGATTGAGTTACAGATGGTAGAAAGGGCCTGAGAATTAAAAACTCCTGAGCTACAAGAAAATTTAGATGTTAGCAGAGCGATTTGCTGAAATGAATGGTCCTGCAATTCTGCATGTTTGAAAATAAAGTTTTCACTAAACATGTGAATATCTTTTCCCTTCGGCTTCTCTACTGGTGGCCTTGACTGTCACCACCATCATCACAACCAAGTTGCAATATGAGGGTCCTGTTTCTAACAGGCAAGGCACATAGTTCTTCCCTTTTAGTATCTCCTGTACAGTTTGGCCTGCCAGGAGCAAAAAATTTGATCTGAATTAGTTAAAAAAAACTAATCTCCCCCATCTGCATAACTGGTGCCTGATTGCTCTAACTTCCATTTTATAAATCACAAATCAATGGCTTTTTGTGATGTAAGCCTGGAAGAAAACCAGAGTCATCATCTGTACTCGCAGATAAAATGGATTTTTTTCTTCTCTTTTTGGGGGGATTTAAAACGAAAATGACAAAAATAAACTTTGAGTGAAAAAGCTGATTAATTCTACAGTGGCATATAGAATCATAGAATCAACTAGGTTGGAAAAGACATTTAAGATCACCTTTAAGATCCAACCATATGAAATGCAAAGGACTATGTATTGGAATGAAAAAACTGAGCACATTTGGTACAATTTTGAGGGGCAATTCAGGATCCAGCTCAACAGCTGGGAGACCTGTGCGTTGCTGTGAGCAGCTTTATGAGGATCTCCACTCATGCATATGTGCTCAAACCCCAGTGGCTTTAGGAGGAAACAAATACATAGACTCAAACACAAGCCGTAAGGAGGCTCCAACACGCAGCACTCCTCACCTGCTCTGCAGAGTCCCAGTCTGCCCATTGCCAAATCAATTTCAGAGAAGAGCAGCAAGACCCACTAGATGCAGAGAAAAGCTGTCACCTGAAGAGTGACCAACTTACTTTACAGTGGAGTGGACACAATCAAAGTGTCTACATGAATGAAAACATTAAGGAGAACTGTGAGTATCTGTTTTCTGTCTTGCCTTGTAAGAAGTATGTCTGTTAAAGGGAGCAAGATTTTCTCCCAGTATGGGGCCACCTTTCCAAATGTTCCAAAGGTTCAGCGAACACCCCTGGGTGTGTCCCAGGCTGGACTTCTAGTACACCAAAGTACAGAGATGCCTAGAGGATGCGTCCCAAATTGTTTATTAATGCTGACAGATGCTCTCTGACTACACCAGTATTATTAGAAATCCATCAGCCTCTTACAATTTTACAGCCTTCAACACTGTGCTAGGTACTCACATTCAAGGCTTGAAAAAGACTGAACAGCAGGTTTTCTGAAATAAAATTATATCTGAAATAAAATAGAGTGGCAAAGACGGCAATAGTGAAAGCCAAACAAAAGAAGAGGACAGAAATGTGGAGAGGGAGGAAGAGACCAGTGAGCTCTTTGCTTTTCAGAGTGCAGACTGAGTACATGCTCCTGATTGCTAGGTTTCTGAAAGGATATTCACCCTGTATCTAGGAATCAAAAAATGATACCTTTAGGAGGCCTGAGGGAATAGGAGAAATTTCTCATCTAAAGAAGTTACATCCATTTACAGAACATGGATATTTTTATTGCTCAGCTTGAATCATACTGAGGGATCCTGTGCCTTCAGTATTTTGAGTCTTCCTAACCGTGCCACAGGAACAAGAGCACACTTGTGAATACTAAATGAGGACTGAATTACCATCATGTACACATCCTGCACCGGAGCCAAATCGGAAGTGAAATATCATGTCACATATGAGAGCTTAAGAACTGATTAATTTTGATAGCATATTTATAGTTCTCATTTATGAGGAACTCAGAATACTTTAAGCAAATTGAATACTGAATTATCCTAAAATACTGTAAATCAATGGGAACTGTACAAGAATCAGGACCCTGTGATGGTGGAGTAGTTCAAGATGGGACTGTCTGTAGAGCAGTCACTTCACTCAGTACTGATAAACAGTTTGTGTGAGATCTGAGCCCTCTTCAGATCCATGGGGCTTTTACCCTTGTCTTAAATTGAGGCCAGGATTTCATCCCCTTTTTGGCAGAGGGCAACAACAGTGTGCCATGCTTCAGAAAGAGGAATATCACATCTCTCTGGAAGAATAGAGGGAATTTTAGGCTGAGGGAGTGCACTTGCAGAAACCCAAACATGAGAAGAAAACTGGGTTAACTTGCTATCTGCCACAACACATGTCTCAGGGTCCTTGAGGAATGGGACCACAACTCTGCCTCTTCTAGAAGATAGTTCTGAAAAGATCATAAGTCAAATGGGAAGACCTTAAAAACAAAAGCCAGCTACAAAATTTTGTATCATGCAAATTCCACAGCCAATTATGCTTCCATAAGCTTAAGCTATTTTTCATAATTGGGGATGAAAATACGCTCTTGAATGCAAGATTGGGAAAGATTAAAACATTAGAAAATTCTAAGGCAACTGCATTTCTAATGTCCAATTTTCATCCTACTGTGACACATGTAGTAAGTCCATTACTCCATTTTGATCCAACTCCATTAGACATTTGTAAGTCACAAGTTCATGAAACAGCTTTCAGATACTCACCAAAATGAGCTCATTAGTTGGAGAGAACTAAGACAAGACTTCTGTAATGAAAGGAGTATGTGATTTAGCAAAATGAAGTAAATGGTATAAAACCAGTGAAATAAAATCACCCCATTTATGGTACAAGTTTTTTCCACTAGATTGCTATTTTTCCCCTTCAGAGAATGCTTCCCCTCGCAGTTTCCCCAAGACAAGAAGAATAGTCACACCAAAGCAATATTCCAGGCTGCAGGCCATCATGAACACAAGAGGATTGTCACCTATGCCTACATGTCACCACCTCCTATCCTGGAGGAAATGGAACCTCACATTTGGCTGGCAGAATGGGGCATGGGAAGACAGCAGTGGTTAGGTAAGGAGTTAAATCTCCTTCAGCATCCACATTAACCATCTGCGCATGGTGAGAAGAGCAGATACGTGTGAGCAGTGTCATCTCACAGCCTTTTGAAAATGTCTGTGTAATTCACCCTGCTTTTTTATCCCCTGTGGCATAAACTTTATTTGAGTGTATGGGATTGAAATTCCATTTTGGTGTTCCAGACAACAGGAAATAGTTGTCTGTCAGAGTGGGAGACAGTTTCATTGCGCAGAGCTGGAGGGTGTTATGTTGCTGGTTTGAGGGTTCCCATGAGGTTCCCAGGTAACACTGGGCACACCCCCGATTATGACACACAAAGTTAAAGCAAGCAAACATTGCACCTTCCCCACAACTTCTAAACTTTCTTTGGAAGAAAGGAGAAGTCAACGTGAGATTTTTTAAAAAAGAGATGAAAATAATCACTCTTGATGGCAGCGTATTAATTATAACTTTGTGTGGGAGAAGTTAAAATCCTCTCTTCTGTGTGAATTGGGCATCTTTTCCCCACAGAAGTACTGTGTCTGTGTAGCACGGCCCTACAAACACCTGAATGAGCAGGCCCGTGGCGTTCCTATGGACTTGTGTCCTACGTGATGCCTGTCAGGCACCAGTGTCACCCGCGGGGTTAGGCAGCCGTAACAGAGCTGATGAGGGCAATTTTTCCTCCCGAGGGAAGGAATCATCCCTCTGTTTTCGTGGTACCTCTATGGGAAGGGTAGATGGCTGGAACAGATTTGGAGGGGGCTGAGGAGGACCAAAGAGAGTCAGTCCTGGTGCATCAGCACCTTGGGCTGAGTTGGGTGGAGGCTGGGTGAGAGCCCCGCATTCGGGCTCTGGGGCTGAGGCTGCCCGGGCCCGCGGCCCGAACGTGGCTGAAGCGGGGTATCGGACTCTCCGCGGGTACGGGCCGGGCAGGGGCGCGGGGAATGAGGGGGCTGCGTTCAGTCCCGTCGATTCCCTGGGAAAACGGATTCAAAGCGTGGCAAGCCGCGGGCAGAGAACCGCCTGCTCGTGCTCCACGAGTCATCCCCGGCGCAGCGCTGCCCGGGCTCGGAAGGGCATCCCGGGACCCGCTGGCGGATCGCAGCCGTGCCCGCGCCGCTGGGCAACCGCCCCCGGAGCCGCCGGTCTCTGGGTCTGGGCTGCCCCCTCCCGCCGCTGGGGTTTATCGGCAGCGGGCGGGGCCGGCCCCGCAACTTCACCCGAAGTTTTCCCGCGGCCCCGTCCCCCCACGACTGGTCGCGGCCCCGCGCACCGCGGACACGCGATGCTGACGCCCCGCTCCGGGGCTCGAACCCCCGCAGGGCCGCTCTCACCGCCGGCTGCCCGGTCCCGCGTTGGGAAGCGGAGGGGCCCCGGGGGCTAGCCCGCCGCCCCGCCCCGCGCCGCCGCCTCGCAGGGCGGTGGGTGCCGCGGGAGGCTGCTCGGTGCCGCCGCCGCCCGGGAAGGAGGTTATGTAAGGGGGGAGGGAGGCGGCGGGAGGAGGAGCAGGACGCCTCGCCGCCGCCGCCGTGCAGCCGGGCAGCCGCAGCCAGCCGGAGCCGGTGTCGGGGCTGGGGCGGCCGCATGTGCGAAGTGGGGACGCGGCCGCCGCTGGCCGCCGAGCGCGGGGAGCCGCCCGGGGGTGCCGCCGCCGAACGGTGCCGCGACATGGGGTGAGTCCGCAGGGCCCCGGCCACGCGTGGGCGCCGACCCCGAGTGAGCCCCGCGTCCCGCCCCTCACCTCCCCGGCCCCTCCGCAGGTCGCCCGGGTGCGCTCCGCGACCCCGGCGTTTTATAACGTAATTAATCATTTATCACCCGCTCGGAGCGGTGGCGGGGAGGCTCCCGCCCCAGCCACCGGCGGGGGAAAGCCGCTCCCGGCAGGTTACCGGGGGCAAAATCCCCGCTGGAATAAGCGGGGAAGAGCTGGGGGTATCGCGGCCCGAGGAAGGGAGCTGCGGGCCGGGGTCCGGTCCCTCGCCGGGAAGCCGTGGGCTCTGCGCGCCGGGCTGAGCGGCGAGTTCATTGTCAGATGTGTGATGCTCTGGTTCAGCGAGAGCTCTCGGCTGCTGGAGGCTCACAATAAACTTGCCTGAACTGTGCCAGTTGTCCTCTAATTTGCCTAAATGTCCCCCCTTGTCTTTTATTTTAAACATACTAGAAGTCTCTGATCACATGTAATCGCCTCTTGGAGAATTCATCTTGATCAGTCCAAAAATGAATACTGTGTTTTTCCCATCCTTTAACTTTAACTAGGGGACAAAAGCCCAATGCTGGCATTAGAGCAGTTCGTGAACTGAATCTCAGCAAACAGATGTTAACGTTGTGCTTTTGGCTTAAACTATATATAGGATTGAGATCCTCTCGACCAGAATGTCTTGGGGGATTCCAAACCTACACATTTAATTTGCTTTATTTTTATCCTATTATGTTCTCTTACACCTTTCCTCTTCCTCACGGCTCCTCACCCCTCTGTGGCAAGGAATAATCATTCTCCAGTTTCTGAGCTTCCTCATGCACTTCCAACTATGCAAACTCCCACTGTAGATTTGTTTGTTATTGTTAGTGATACAATTCGAGACCATATGGATAAATAATGAATTAAAATACCATGCATGTGTCTGAATTTGATACCCAGGAGTACTGAATGCAAGTACAGAGGCAGAGGGAGAAATAAGATCTAAATGAGTATCTCTCTGTGTATCACTTCAGGATTACAAGGGGCTCATTTGCTTCTTAATTAGGTAAAGTTCCACTGGAAAATAAACCAGAAACTGGCGTGGGGTTTGGAGAAAGAAGCAACAAAACCTTCCTGGAGCAGTACTGCCCTGCTGAGTCCAGGGTGGTCAGAAACATCTATCTAGGGGAAACTTGCCTCTGTCACTTACCTGGGCAGCTCTAAAGCAAATATTTGTGTGTTGTCATTTGTAACCATTTCCACGCTGGCAGATCTGTTTAGCTGAAAAGTTTTGCTGTGGCTTGGAGAGAACTGAGTGGACAATTGCAGTGGTCACCCACTCCCTTGTATATGTCAGCCGTAGCTCTGGGCTCGAAGTGCTCTGGCTCTGCATCCAGAGCTGTTCAAGCTGCGAAAGACTTGGAGTCTTTTGAGTGCTCTGATTGTGTGCCCTGTGCGCTCTGTGTCTGTGCTGCTATGTATGCAGTGCTGGGTCATGCAGACTTGTACAGGTAGAGGAGGCACATTCACCAGTCTAGTTCAATATCATGATTTAATGTGTTTCACTTAGGTAAGTTATTTCAGACTCAGCGCGGTGCATGTGAGATCAGTCTCCCAGCATCATTCACTCCCAGGGCTGTGGCGTGGGTTGTACACCCTCATACGCTCTGTACAGAGTGCACACAAGGGCTTTTGTGGGTTTACATTTTGCCAGTGTCTCACGTCATTATCTTGCCATTCATCCTCCTGATACAGAGAACTTGGAAGTACATTTGTGACAGTGCTGTTGCAGCTATGGCTTAGCACGTGTGGCACATGAGAGAGCTCCCCCACGTTTCTCCCTGTTCCATTGCTGCTGTTAAATCCTTCACCTCTGCGGGATTCAGCTTTGCCTTCTGTGAAATGGGCGCTCCTGTCCTCATCTGTCTATGTGAAGCATGTTGTGATCAGAGCACAGAGATTAGTCTGTCTTACTTGGAAGAATATGTTTTGTCCCAGATATTCCAGTGGGATTTGCTTCCTGGGCATATTTTGGTGTCACATAAGGTGACAACGACTGTACTCTTAGCTCTTAAAATGTTTTTTCTTTTCTTTTTTCCCCTTTTCTTTTCCTCTTGGGGGTGACCATTGCTAATGGTTCATTTCAGTGCTGCCTATGGATTTGGCAGTGACTGCTGTGAAACCTGATACAGCTACTTGAGCTCAGCAAAGCTATTTAAATTGCTTATTAGGTGTGAGCTGAGCTATTTAAACTGTTGGTTTAGTTCACCCTATCAGGCGGCAAGGTAGTGTCAAGTTTTAGGAAAGTAATTTACATGTTTAAAAAAAAAGGTAAAGCCTGTCAATTCAGGGACTGTGAAAACAATGTTGTAAAAACCCCAAAACCCGCCAAACAAAAAGTGTCCAGGAAAAAAACCCTGCTTCTGTGCCCATTATCCCTTCTGGCTGAAAACCACTGGGTTTAAGTCAAGCCACTGTTAAGGATCTCACTGGACAAATGTTTACTTTAAAGGGAACAAATAGTCTCCTAAATCAGTCTCCTAAATCACCACTTTCTTCTACCCAGTACATCTGATAACTGCTGTTGCTTCAGTAGTCTCAGAGATTAAACTTTAGCCATTTCAAAACCACGATGTCATGTATTTCCAGCTCTAGAAATCTTTGCCTGAAGTTGCCACCAGATTTGTCTCTGGGTATTGCAAGCCAAGGGCTAACACAACCAAGAAAGTGGCTCCCTTGTTCGTGGCTCTGGCTTTAGAGAGCTGTGCCTGCTCATCTAATAGCTGTGATCTGATTCAATTTGACCTCAATTTAAGCAGTCTTAAGCTAACTTTCCAGTTATAAAGATGGTTCAGGTTTAGTTATTAGATGATTTAAGGAGATGTTGGATAGCTGTTTCATATGTGCTTACATTCTTTTACTGGTTCCATTTCTTTAGTATCTTTTTCTTTCCCTCTCTGTATGTTACAAAATATTTCTTGTTATGAGGTGTGTGACAAGTATCCACTTTGGATTAGACCTGTAAATCACTTCACTGCTGCTGAAGCTGTTCTTTATATTATCTGTTGGATTAAAACTCAACTAATTTAAATACCTTCCAGCAATAAAATGGAATTTTAAATCTGTTTTATAAATCATAATCAAAATGAAAATCAAGCCTCTGTGTGTTAGAAATTATTGCAGAAAGCTGTACAACAATGTAGAATTGTGTGCTGCACAAGCTAATGATGAACTAGCTCATAGTACACTTTCCTTTTGGCTGATATGAGATGGCTTCTCTGTGATGCTTCCACAGGGGCTAATGTGGTAAATGAGTCCCATGAAGCTGGGATCCACCCATACCTCCCCCAGGTGGGCTTTGAGCCCACACCTTCCTCCTGGAAGGTGGGAAAATGGGAGTTTCCAAGTCTGTATCAAGCAGTGAAATACCCTTATCTTAAGGAGACTGGCCTCATGAACAGAATCCTTCCCCTCCTGTAATTCTTTCATGAGAAGGTACAGTTGGGGGCCTATATTTCTGAGAGTAGTCATATGTAATGTTTTTATTATGCAGTGACATTTAAGAGCATCAGGAAAGCCTTCCTTGCACTCTTCCCTTCTGCTGTTGGCAATAGTAACGTCCATTGGCCAACATAGGGCTCTATTTGGGGAGTAAAAGGCAAGCAAATGGGAGAATGAGGAAAGAAGAAGGTGAAGAAAGCAGAAGACGTAATGAAGTTAGTGTTACAGGAAGACACTAATTTTGGACGGTGTTCAAAGCTGGCCTCTCGTGGTACTAGCAGTACTTTAGATTCCATGGTGATAAGCTTTGCCTAAGAAGCTCTGTAGTGGGGAAGAGTGTGTTGCAGAGGAAATTCACCCTGGCCATCATCCAGCTCCCACTGAAATCCACAGGAGTCTCACACCAGCTCCCTCCAAAGTTTGTCTGAGCCATCTGTCCATGTGGGAGGTGGGCATCCTGGGACCCAAGAGCGGCAGGCAGGTAAGGGCACCTGGGTTTCACTGCAAAGCCAGTGTCCCTCAAAGCAGGGCTGGGGTGAGTGTATGCTCAAACACAGCTGAGTTGGTACTGTGAGCTCAAGGACTCTCTTTTGAGGTTTTGAGGACATCAGCTTTGGTTCAGTTCCTAGCCTAGCTCAGGGGGATAGGTTGCATCAGGCATCATCCAATTGGTGATGGTGTTCCAGGAAAGGGGCTGAGATTTGAGAGATGCCGAGGCTGTTAATCTCATGGGTTTTGAAGCAGCTGGCTGGGGATGCTTGATTCTTCATAGCTTCAGTTCCATATGTAGCTATTCCCATTTTGCAGACTGGATATAAACTGCTGCTGTTCTGACTTTGGGTATTCAGTATCTCTAGATACCAGTGTCTGTACAAAATCCAGTGGAAAAGTTGGATCCAGAGAACTCAGGGTTCTGTAACAGTATGTTGGGTTCACTGAAATGGATGAAAAACTCTGCTGACTTCAACAGTATGTATAAAACCTGTAATGTGTAGTCCCTTTCTTACATTTAACATAATTTAAATAAAGACAGAGAGGCAGGGAGCTTGTTGGTGTGGGAGAAAAAAAACAAAACAGAGCGAATAGCTAGATCATCACCAGGATTTGTGTGTGCTTAGGGCTTTGGTGTGGTTGCATTCAGGTGAGTGAACAAACCTGTAATGCTGGAGTGTTTCATTCAAGTCTGCCATCAAGTGAGAGACTTTGTCACCTCTCACACAATTATATGAGGAGCAGATGAGGAGTACAGATAGAGGCACGTAACTGAATTTTGGCAAAGACCTCCTGTGTGAATAAGGTCCAAGGAAAACATGGGATTGGGAGAAATTACTAAACAAGCTAATGAAAGAGTAGCAGAAGGAAATGATGAAGGAATGACTGGTATGAAAGACACAACAGGTTGAGAAAAAAATTCTGGGGTCTGCTGGAGGTAAGTTCAGCAAACGACAACAGGAAATGGTCTGCCAGTTCCACAGCTAGTTTGTGTGCCCTGGT